TCACTCTCACTCTCACTCTCACTCTCACTCTCACTCTCACTCTCACTGTCTCTCTCTCTCTCTCATCCTCACTGTCTCTCTCATCTCTCTCATCTCTCTCTCATCTCTCTCATCTCTCTCTCATCTCTCTCTCAACTCTCTCTCATCTCTCTCTCATCTCTCTCTCATCTCTCTCTCATCTCTCTCATCTCTCCCTCATCTCTTTCTCATCTCTCTCATATCTCTCTCATCTCTCTCTCCTCTCTCTCTCTCTCCTCTCTGTCTCTCGTCTTTCCGTCTCTTTTCTCTCTCTTCTCTCGCAGGAGGATCCGGGCAAAGAACCACATATAAAGGACTCTTCACCCCTGCCTCCAAAAAGAGCGCCGTGTTTTTTCCTACCTCGCTGCCCTCCACTTTCCCATTCTGGAGCGCTAGCTTTCGCCCCCCCCCTTGGCCTCAAGTCTTCATACAGATTCCATCGTAACATGCATGTAAACAAGTGGTGAAACAGTGCAAAACGACAAAAGATGGGTGTGTTCCTCAGTTTCAAGGGAATGTTTTGGATAGTCAACACATGTCAAAATGACTGTTGCCTAAGGGGGGGCGGACTCCAGACATAGGATATATCAAATCTCCCACCACGTGTTCAATGATGCTTCCCGTGTTCCCAAATGGATCAGTTCTTGTTCTGAAGAAGTTGATGACACTTGGATGGTTGGAGGGCACTCATGTAGGTGGTCATTGGATTATCTTTTGTGATTGTTCTGTGGCAGGAGATTCTTATCGTGATGTGGCATGCCGTTGGCTTAGGGCCAATGAAGATCTGTGGAGGTCTTGGCTACCAGACCCGACCGCCTGTTATGCTCAGTTTGGCTTGTACCATTTGACCAGCAGGCAATTTGTGAAAGATCGAGAGGATATGAGAAATCTGGTGTGCAAGGCATGCCCCTCAGGCACCTATTCTAAGAAACTGGTGGACAGAAAAGGCTTGACCAACATTTGTGAATCTTGTCCCATTGGCACGGCCCAAGCATCTGGCGCTTCACTCGCCTGTGAGCCTTGCAACTCCGGATATTACCAAGATATCAACGGCAGCACATCGTGTAAGCGATGCGGAATTGGGAAGTACCAAGACGGTGAAGGTGAAGATGGCTGCAAGCCGTGTCCTGTGGGTACTACCACCTTGGGCTTTGGTTCCAAATCTTCTTCTGACTGTGTGTGCCATGAGCACTACATCAATGTGGAGACTGAACATACAGCGGTAGCTAAGTGCATGGCCTGCACAGAAGGCTTGCATTGCCCCCTCGGCTCTAGCTTGGAAAGCCTGAAGAGTGGATACTCTGACATTGGTGAGGCCTACACTCCAAGCCTCGAGAAAGGCGAGAGCCGGGTTGTGGGGTGGGGGTGGGCGCTCGGAGGTCGCGTGGCGAGGCGTGGCCAAGTCGTCGCTGAGGCTTCTTTGCGACGCGGGAGGAGCCCATGGCCGTCTTCAAGTGTGGGGCGAAGGAGCATAGCGTCCTTGTTCCGTTCGCAGCTTCTTGTTCCTAGTAAGGCCAGGAGCCCCGTTCGTAGCGTCCTTTGCTCCGTTCGTAGCGATGCCCTGGTAGCTCCTAGTAGCGTCGTCCTTCGTGTGGGGCGAAGGAGCATTGTCCAGGTGGACCGCCCGGAGAATGCGCTGGTGGCCGTGAGTTGGTGCCATGTTCCGAGTGCCCAGCAGGGACCTCTTGGGTGGCGGACACATGTATGGGCTGCGAGAGGTGGAAGATGGCCATTTTGGATGGATTCAGATGAGAGGGATGGTCAAGAGATGTCAAGAGGATTTTTTACTCCGAGTGATCCAATCACCCTAGATGAACTTTGAACTTTGATCCTGTGCTTTGCTGCTTCTTTTTCGGTCTAATGTATCTCCGGTGTCATTGAGGTACCCCCGGTCCGGTTTTGACCATTCGTCCAAACCGTCCCAAAAAGACAGAAACACAGGAGAAGTTCTGTGCTTTCATGTGCAACATGTTGTGTACTGTAAGAAAGAATCTGAAGCAACATCCATGCTTTGCCCCTCACCTTGAGGCTTTGTGGCTTTGCTTGCTGTTGCTGTTGATGGCGGGGCTCAGCTTGGCCTACTATGTGATGAATCCCCCCTTGAGGTCGAAGGCCTCACCGAGGGAGGCCATGGGCATTTGCTTTGGCATCGGTGTGAGCTTGGTCCAAAACTTGGCCATCATGGGCTTGATGACTGTGAAGTGGTCTGGCAGTTTCTGGCCGAACTGTTGAGTAAGTTGCTTTGTGTTTAGAAGGCACTTGGCCTTTCTTTGCTTTTTTGCCTTTGTGTTCGGGAGGCACTTTTTGGTGTTGTTTTGGTGTTTGGATCCAAACACGCAAATGTGAAGAAGCAAAACCGCGCTTCTGATTGATTTTGTGGTAGTGCTCAGCCGGAACTCCAAAAACTGCAGGCTTCCAAACCGTGTCGGATGCGTCTCGAATTTTCCTGCTTGATGTCGAGAACCTGTCCGTGTCCTGCCTGGTGAATGGCCCCACATCATTGCGCTACATCTCTTCAGTCTTGGTCTTCCCTGCCGGACTTTCGTGGTTGGCCTTTTGCTTCGTGGTGTCCAAACGAGCCCCTGCAGCCTGTCGTTTGCGTGGTCACGTTTGGTCAGAAGACAAGACCAAGAATACGATGGGACACTTCTTACAGGTGGTTTCGGGTGTTTGCGTGGTTTCGGTTCGGAACAAAGAGTGGATCAAAGAATTCGTTACTGTGACAAGAATTCGGATGAAAGGAGGAACTGTTCATGACAGATTCCCATGTGCACTTGCCCTGAGGTTGGCTTCAGTACCATGGCAGCTTTAGCTTTGCAGCCACTAATGTGCTATGCACATCCCAATGGCCTCCGAAGCCTGTTGAAACATCCAGGGGTGCTTTGTGGAAGTGACACACATTCGATGATGCTGGTCGCTGGGCTTTTGCTGCTCGTGGCCTTTGTCTTGAGCTTTATCGGAGCCTGTGCATGGGCAGCATACAAACTTCCTGCTTGGAGCGCAACGAATCCAAAGGCCAGAAAACAACGCCTGTTCAACTTTTTATGCACAAGCAACTGATCTATGGTTTTTTTGCCCCCTTCATTTCGTTTCCCGTTTTTCCCCTTCACACACCTTTTTCTACTCTTTTCTTTCATGTCCCCCTGTCTTCATGTCTTTTCATCTCCTCCTTTCTTTCGTTTGCGTACA